AAATATATATGAATATATATTTTACAACACTAAACGTAATTATGACCGTCAAATAGAGAAAATTAAATAATTAAAGACATACACTTACACACAACTAAATTTTTTTATATATATAAATGGTTTTAAGAATTCTATATATAATTTGTATAAATAAAATAAAAAGAAGAGTGATTAATGAATATTATGTGAAGTTGGAATGATGTCATATGAGCTACATCAGGTTTTTAAACGTGAGGTATAGCGATATGGGGATTAGAACCATAATGTAACTACAAAACAATATGCTTAGAAATATTTTTAAGAAGGAAAAAAAAAACTGGCTCGTAAAGCGCAGCTGTTTTTGAAGAAGTAAATATTGAAAACACATTAGTCTTAAAATCGATCATATTTATGAAAGTAGATACCAGAAATTGTTCTTCCACAACTTAAAAATAGGAGACTTTTTTAAAGCTTCATAAATGATATAGATTACTTAAGAGGCATCTCTAAGATTACCCTCTTCTAAACAGCGTTATAGATGAGCATAAAACTGTGTATGTAATTTTCGTAAGCATAACTTTCATATGTAATTTATGATAATTTGAGGAATGTTAAGTGCGTTATATTTATTTGAAAGCAGTGACTTATGAAATTAACAGTGCGATTTAAACGGTTAGGTCTACGTTCTGCAACTACAGTTGTTATTGTAGCCCGCAAGGATCTGCTTTTTGGGTATGTTGAACAGCATTTGGTTATTGAACTCCACGATTATCTCCGGAACGTAGACCGGAGACCGGTTGTTGAACTCGTTCTCGGAATCTCCTAAAACTACTCGTCATTGACAACTAAATAACGCTCACAGATCTCGCTTTTCGGTTCGTAAGAAGAACCAAACTAAGAAACTATTCGGGCTACAATAAAAACAACAACAGATCTATATAGTATTACGTTATAAGAATATAACGTACGGTAGTACATAATAAATATAAAATAAGAAGAACATATTAAAAGAGAATTGTAATAAATATACATTATAAGAAAGATTGTAAATATATATATAATAAATTTATTTGAGTAAAATGATTATCAGAAAGACTTTATAAAAATCATATATAAAAAATTTGTTGTTTATATGGTGAGGTGTATTATTATTTGTATAAGCTCAAAGTGCATTGCGAAGTGCAAATCTATGTTATTTTATAGTTCCGCAAGTGAACTGCATTTAATGTCAACAATATTTACTTAAAACAATTATTAGTTCATGGAAATCACTTATCCTACTACTAGATAGACTAACAGCTGGATTTAAATAATCGCAACTAGCAATATCATCCAATATGGGATATTAAATATCGAGTTACCAATCTAACCAGTTGTTTGGAATTTCTGAAAACAAATATATATAAAGATATATAAGAGTGCAGATATATTGTGGAAAAAGATTTTAAATGTTTATTAAAATTCCAGACAAACATCAATAAATTATATAAAACAGATAGAGCAAATTGAAAACACATGGAAACTTAATGTGAAAAGTAATTAATGTAATAACGAAAAATAGTGTGCTATTCTGGAAGGAGACTACCTATATACCAATCGGAACTATTATGACTACATATTTTGTACCGAGAAGAAGAAAAGCAAAAAATATTGTGAATCAAAATTAAAGACAAAACTAAAAATTTTATTAAAACTCTAGTCTGTGGTAATACGTAAAAATTGCTGATATGTACTTTTTATAGTTTAAAACCTGTGAAAGGTTTATGCATTATTGAAAAATTCAGAAATTAAAACTTTTAAGAACTTACCTGTTGAACATAAAATGTAGGTGATATGGATTTAATTATTATATAGAGTTTCAGGCTTCTTCGTCTTCGTCGTTAAAGGATAATAGAGTTTTTGGTTTATTTTCCGACTTTTTAGATTTCTTAGCTGTAGTCGTTGTTTTAGCGGAAGTTTCCGTATCAATGGGTTTTCTCTTTTTGAAGACGATACGTTGATTCAGATCAGCTTTAGCTTCAATAGTCTCTGAAAGATGAAAATAATTTGTTCAGTTGAAAGTAGTAAACAATAATGAACGTAAATAAGAGTGGGTCATCAGGAGGTCATATTTCGTAATGTATATATGTTTGGATAATTTATGTAATAAAATGTGTTATTGGTTAAATATACATATGCCGAACTCCCTTTTCTAGACTAATACATTGTATATAGGTAGTATATAAATGTATGTATGTATGTAAAAATTTTATCCTCTTTATAAATGCCATGTCTATCAGTTTATTTAGACAATAATAATACCCGCGTCCGTTCCACCGTTACGCCTCTTTCTAGTAAAACATACTTATATCATTCGTCGTTGACAAGCGTTTTTCTGTTTCTACATTTCTTCTTTCTTTCCTTTTTCGCACTTTGTTGCCTACTGGCATTCGCAATCAGCCTCGTCCGTCCGACCAACCGACCGACCTAATGTTGCTTTCTGTGGCATCCGCTGCCGACACCGCACCAACTGCTTTTATTAACCAAAACCACTTGCCATTCTCTTTATATCTGTTTTTCCGCTTCTTCTTTGTGACTTCATTCGTACTTTTTTTATGTTTGACTATCTTATTCTGCGCGGGCTGTTTGGCATCAGCAAGCAGCTGCTGCTGTATCGTTGCTTTTTGTGAATTCATTTTTGGCTCACATTTATTCTTGTACGTTTTAGTGGAGCCCCAGTGTGATGAGGTTGCATACACATGTGTCTGTATGTGTAATATTACTATAGTTTATGCTGCTCGGTGCTCCTGTGGCATTAAGGTTTGGGTGCATGCAACAAAATGGTACACTGTGCTATACACTGCTTTGCACAATGTACCAATGTTTACCCCCTCAACACAAACCATTTACCTGTGCCTGAAGAATACACATACTATTTGCTGGGGCTTCTGTGGACACATTTTTAGGTTAGGAAAATTTAAACAAAGACACCTTAATTTCGGTTTTATTTTTTCGTTTTAAACAAATTATTCACATTAATGCACTAAGTGAATAACACTTTTTCACCAAAATTGCTTATATTTTCTATAGCAACAAATTATTTTATAAACAAAATATTAACAACTAACTCTTACCAATACAATAAATACCTTGTTTATTTTTAATATTTTTGTTATTATTGCGACAAACGAAAAATTTTATTTTTTAAGTAGCACTTTCATAAAAAAAAAGTTTATAACAATTTTTTTTTTGCGAAAAAACTTTATAAGCGTGGATATAAAATCAAAGAAACGACGCAACGACCGTCTCTGACTCAACCAAACTAAACTGACAGATAATGACAGCAACATACAAACCACGGTCTCATTACAAATATACATACCTACATCCATACTTATATATAATGTGTACATATGGATATATCTATATACATAAATATATGTACATCACACCAGATTTCTGACAAGAGTGGAAATTAACACGTAGAGGCATATGTATTCATATGTATGTCAATTTCCTAATTTTATTTAATTTCGTTTAAATAATTTTGTACAAACCTTTAGCAATTCGTTGCTCCTCCTGCTTAACTTCCTCAGCGGTTAAATCACCTTCTTTAAGCACAACAATTTGCGGCTTTTCGTCCTCACGTTCGAATGGTTCGTCTCCTTCGGAATCAGAGCATTCAATTTTTTGTCTCTATATGGAATATATTTAAACCAAAAGTTCCAAAGAGGATAACTTTACACAAATAAGGTTCTACCTTTGTTTCCACGGTGGGACCTTCTTTATAACCAATTTGCGCTTTTAATTTTGCTAAAAAACTTGGATCACTAGGCTTGTTATACGTTATATTACGAGACATAGTTTATAACATTAAAATAACACACACAAAACATAAGGAATTTGTTTTAAATGATCAATTTTAATAATGAATTGCACATAAATCAAAACATTTATATTACTGGTCCATAAAACGCGAGGGTTGTCATGTAACTTTGAATAGTTGGCAAAAAATAGTAGTGCAGCACAAATTGCAAAGCAACCCTGCCAAATTGGCCGCTGTTTTTAATATACAAGATACTTATATATATATTTAAATATATGTATGTATATAAATACCTTCCAAATATATATTTACATACATATGCATACGATTAAGAAAAATTTTGAAGATTTATACAATTTTAACACGAGAACTATATTTGTATGTAAATGATTAGATAATACTAAATAATCCCGTTCTATGCTTTTGATTAAAAGTTAATTATTAATTTAATATAACCATATAATTTGTATGTAATATAAGATACATTAATAAAACATTTTATACGCAATTACACTATTTGCGCAGTTTGGAAATATATTATTAATATCAGATATCTGTATTATAAATATAAACAATCCCTCAATTTGTATTAATTGAATTCTTAAATATATATGAAGTAAACAAATATTTAAATACACACACATATGTATATTAATACATATGTATACATATTTCCAACAAAATAGGTTATATTGAGAAATTTAAGTATACCCGCATCAACGTTTTTGGTTTTCCTAATATGAATAGAGTTAATGCCTAAGAAGTGTTAAGAGGAAAATCGTTAACTAAGTGAACTTTGACGCATATATAATTTTTGATTTATAACATTACATATATAACAATTACCAAGTTTCAGAATCATCATGTCTAATATATTAATATTATTTTTTGTAGTTCAGAAAAACACTTTAGAATTAAATAATTTCAAAAAGAAATAATATAAGAAGTCCGTTCACACTAACATTTTATATTATTTTAAGTAACAATAAATAAGTTTTGTCGGAATATCTCTATTATCATTAAGTTTTTTAATATATAAACTGTGCTGCATAAAAATTGTAGAATTTCAAATAGTTAGCTTCGAATATTTCAAAATGATAACAATAATAGTTTAATATTTAAATTTTGTTATTATTTTTCAGTAGCTTATATTTTGGTTTTTGTGTGAATGCAAATTTGTGAAGAAATATAAATTAACATAATTTATAAAATATTTGTAAAAGTTTAAATATAATTGTTTACAGATTATTAATATCTATCCTTATCGTTTTTGAACAGGTACTATATATGTTTCACTAGTACTGATTTTGCAAATTTGTTACAGATTATGCTTTAGTCGAAAATATCAAAAAAATATGCAAGATATACAAATTTAGAATGATGACGTTGTGAAGCACAAAGTTCGTTCAAGAATTTTTCACCAGAATTGCTTTAAGTAAGTATTACACGTACTTTAGAATACTATATTTATAATTGTATAACTTTTTGTTGGGCTGTATATGTATATGTATTAGTATAAAATAGTGTCAATAATTATATCACCAAAACAATGTTTTATAAATATTTATTAATATATTGGAATGTAAATAGGTTGAAGTACTCTCATCTAATGTAGTTTCTACATTCATTAATCTGTTAGATCTAAAAAATGATTGTATTCCTGCACACGTGATACCAAACGACTTATGAAATAATAATAATTGATATAAAAGCTCTGTTTCACGAGCAACTTATAGTAACTTTGAATAACACTGTGTATGCACAAGTTCGTTCTACCAGCAAATTTTTGATTAAATGAGAGCACCTGAGAGAGTGTAACATCCTTGTCAAAATTTAAAAATGCTACACAGACTTTACTCGCACATTTTATTTCAAATAATATTTGTTTGATGTGTGAATCAGCTGTTTTGGTTGGAATTTAAACTTTTGTATTGTTTATTTGCGCGGCAGTGGTGTTCTCACCAGACTTTACACAAAGCTGTTCCATGAAAATCTGTGTAATAAATGTAATTTGGCACTTTGTTTGTGTTACGCTCTTAATTTGTACTTTACTTGAGTTTTACTACGAGCAGCTCGTGGCACAGATCTAGAATTAATTAATTCATAGGTCGATTTTTCATTACCAACTCTATGTATAAGCCACCACATATACGCATTTTGTTGTAGTTGCAATTTATGTGTACGAAAGGGTTAGTGCTGTTGGCTAATATTGTAAGGTAGAACTCTTAAAACTATAGTTATTGATAATAATTTATAGAAACAAAATTATTATTGTTTGAATGGTGCCTTGCTTTGACGAGTACAAGGTGCACATCCGCCGTTTGGGTGCTGATAAAGAAAGTAATTAAAATCCAAATATACCATATACGTATTTATGATCTATGCCACAATTGAGTAAAATTGAGAATTAAAATTAGTTTTTATAACAGCTTTCGAACAGTTTACTAAAATTATGAAATTAAAATTTTACTCATGCTTTGATGCATGATTAAATCATGTAATTGCTTGCTATTTTCTATTTTAAATATGCAACGGCATTTTATTCTTAGTCCTAGGTCGGAATAGTAGATAACGAAAGTAAGAAATTTGTAAACATCACGTTATATATTAAATTAATTGTCAAACACACATACACACAATCAAGCAGAGTTCATGTATACGAATTTTCCATTTGTATAATTTATTGAATGTACCAAGCATCAAAAATTAAGGTACCGAAATTGGTCCGCAAAAAGTACTCAAGTGTGGCATGGACCAAAAGAATTCAACAATGTAGATGTAAATATATTATAAAAGATTTTTTTGCTATTTTCAAGAAAAACAGTATATATGCTAAAGTTAGTATTTCAAAATACTTAAATTTTTTCAATAGTGTATTATAGGTAACTTTGTTTTTTATGACATATGTCATTTAGTTTTTTTTCTTAATTACCAATTTTGTTGTATTTTTTTAATGTAAAATTTAAGTAATACTTAGTAATTTTTATACATTTTGTTATATGAGACAATAAAATTTAAATAAGTTTAAATTCTCAGTAATTATTTACATTTTGTTGTTTTAGACGATAAAATGCGACTCTGTTCGAATTTGGACTTCGTTATATCCTCCACTTGTCAGACAAGACTGATCTGCAGCTGCTAGAGTGTGTTTAATCACACGTAAAAAATAAACTAACTGCTATACATATATTGTGAAAAATTAAATATAAAGTTCAAAACAAATTCTAACGGGGAGGGTACTTTATATAAGTTTTGAAGATAAATTTTAGAAAGTTTCACACGCAAATTTTCACATACGAATTGTAGAAGTGCAAAATAAAATAAGACGCAAATTGCAGTTTTCAACGTTTCGAGAGACAATTCCAGAACGTAGGATAAGCACGGAAAAACGCTAATTACTGACGTGTGCATTTGCAACTTAAAACTTTCATTTTTGTAATGGAAAGTAAATAAATGAGAAAAAACTCTCAGCATGATGGATGAAACCCAAGGTGATATCTGCCGAGTATGTCGGTGCGAAGCACAATCGGATCGACCACTTTTTTACCCTTGTATTTGTACGGGAAGCATAAAATACATTCACCAGGATTGTCTAATGCAATGGATGCGTTATTCACATAAAGAATACTGTGAGTTATGTGGCCACCGATTTAGTTTTCAGCCAATATATTCGCCTGATATGCCAAGAGTTCTACCTCTGCGGGATGTAGCAGGTGGCTTGTTGAGTGCGGTGGTGAAGGCAACAAAGTCATGGTTTCATTACACTTTGGTTGGTTTGGCCTGGTTTGGTGTGGTACCATTGTCGGCATATCGTACATATCGCTATCTATTTCGCGCCTCAACGTTTGACATGATTTTGTCACTGCCTTTCGATATCTTTTCAACTGAAAATATTGCATCTGACGCTTTTCGTGGTTGTTTTGTTGTTTCCTGTACTTTATTATCATTCATAGGACTCGTTTGGCTACGTGAACAAATTCTGCATGGTGGTGGGCCAGACTGGCTTGATAGAGACGATGCACATGGTGTGGGAAATGATGCAGAAGATCAAGTCGATGTTAATGGTGAAGATGATGGTGGCGACGATGATCTGGCCGATAATGATGACGAAAATGCGCCAGTTGATGTGCCAATGGACAATGCTGCTCCTGCTGTTGCAGATCCTGTAGAAGACGAGGGTGAACAGGCACTAGATGTAGGAGGACAACGTAATGCTGATAACGTTGCAAACAATGGTGTGCAAATGCCTGCTGAAGCTGTCCCCGCTAACGCTGCTGAGAATGAAGATGAACCTAATTGGAATCCAATGGATTGGGATCGTGCTGCTGAGGAATTGACTTGGGAGCGATTACTTGGTTTGGACGGATCGTTACTATTTTTAGAACATGTATTTTGGATTATATCGCTGAACACTATGTTCATTTTTACATTTGCATTCTGCCCATATTGTATTGGGAATTTTATACTCAGCTCACTTAAATTATTGCAACCGGAGAAGCCACTTCTGCACTTTCATGGACTATTGACTACACTTTTTGGTTATTGCTTTATAGGGATTACTTTGGTGATATTACAATTCTTCGCACGTGTGCTATGTTTACGGAGAGTTCGTTGGTTAATAGGTCTATGTTACATTGTGGTGAAAGTATCCTTGCTAGCTGTCGTTGAAATTGGTGTTCTACCTTTAGTGTGTGGTTGGTGGTTAGATATTTGCTCATTGCCATTATTTGATGCAAGTATTAGAGACCGTAAAGCCAGTTTTAAAGCTGCTCCTGGTACGTCCCTCTTCGTACATTGGATGTTTGGCATGGTTTATATATATTATTTCGCCGCATTCATATCTCTGCTGCGGGAGGTACTACGACCTGGAGTACTGTGGTTTTTGCGTAATTTAAATGATCCTGATTTTAGCCCAATACAGGTAATTATATTTTTGTGTGATTTTAAATATTTATTTATTTTAATCTTTTTGTGTTATAAGGAAATGATTCATTTGCCAATTGTGCGGCATATAAGACGACTTATTGCTTCAGCTATGATTTTTGGATCGGCTGTTTTGCTCATGCTTTGGCTACCTATACGCATATTAAAAACAGTATGGCATGCATTTCTTCCATATATTTTATCTGGGGACTCTGAAGTAAATGAACTGAGCTTGCAGTTATTATTATTACAGGTTTAATTTTATATTTTCTACCTAGTTACTGGTATTAAAATGAATATCTTTTAGATAATACTGCCTGGATTTTTCGAACAATCACACACCCGTGTCTGGCTAAAAGCGTTATTGCGTATATGGTGCGTCTGTGTATCTTGGATACTAGGTATACGTAGTTATTTGTTGGGCGCCGATCAAGTACCTGCTGAAACTGAAAAGCCACATAATCCTCCTCAACAACAAAATAATGAACCGCAAGCAGCTGCCGAGGCTGTGCAACAAGAAAATCTACAAGAAAATGGACAACCAAATGCAGATCCACCGAGAGTACGGGTACCACCAGTTATTCCGCCACAAATTGAAAGAAATTTAGCTGCCGCACATCAAGCTATTATGCAACGTGATGTACCAATTGGATTTCAACCATATGACAGGCCCACTTTCTTTGTAATAAGATTGTTTGGATTATTATTTGCCATGTGTGTTTCTCTGGTAATAGCTTCTGTTATCACGCTAACAGTACCAGTATGGATTGGTAGACAAGTGATGGCGCTTTGGTCTGTCGGTGGATACTTTGCAACACATGTGCCACCAAACCCAGAAGTTTCTCCGCGACCGCATGAACTCTATACTGCTGCTGTAGGCACGTATCTCTGTTGGATTACATCACGAGGTGTAGCAATAGCTGTCAATCTGTTACCACAAGGTCGTGCTGCAGTTATTAATAAGGTCAAACATTGGTTGCTTGTAGGTTCGATGTATGCGTTGCCCGTATTTATATTTGTACTGATGTTGGGTGTAATACCGCTTCTCTTTGGCCTGCTACTTGAATTAATTGTCGTTGTACCATTACGAGTACCATTGTCACAAACACCCATTCATTTTTTGTGGCAAGATTGGGCGTTGGGTGTACTTTACACAAAAATAGCTGTAGCTCTTACCTTAATGGGCCCAGATTGGCAGCTTAAACGTGCAATTGAACGAGCTTATCGTGATGGTTTACGAGACATTAACTTAAAATTCCTTATACGAGAGCTAGCCACGCCGGTTATAACATGCTTCGGTCTTATGCTAGCGGTGCCATATGTAATAGCAGAATCGATTGTACCATTATTTTGCATGAATGCTATGACACAATGGGAAATATCTCGACTTATATATCCATTTTGCTTCGTTTTTATTGGACTGCTCGCCTATATTATATTCGAAATTAAACAATTCAAAAAACTTTACCTTGCCATCAAAGTCGATAAATATTTAGTTGGACAACGTTTGGTAAATTATGAACATCGAAAACGAAAGCTGGAGGAAGCAGCAGCTGCAGCTGCGGAAATTGCTGCAGAGGCTGAAGCTGCCGCTGCTGCTAGTAATGCTGCGAATTCTACTAATGGTGCTGTAGACGTGGAAAACGTTAAGGAAGACGCACCTTTGATTAATGCACACAGAGAAGAAAATAATGATCATATAAATCGAAGAAGAAGAGATGCTAGAATAGAAGCTTTAGTACAAGATTTGAGACATGATGAATTATTATAATAAAGCTGCAATCTCGAACAAATGAAAAACTTTTATTTATATAAATTTTTAATTGATTAATACCCTAGAACTGTGCTACCTTCAAGCTTATTTAAACAATTGTATTTTATGGAAGTGGTTTGTTTAGTTAATTGAATTTGTAATGCAAATGCTTAGGGCAGCGAATGGCTAATAATTAATTGTCATTAAGTTGTAGATAAAATGTTATTAGTTTATTTTAATTATTGTTTTAAGAAATTTGTGTTATGTAGTTATATTTAAGTAAACTCAACTGAAATTTATAAGAGAAATTCGAATTAATTTTCTATTGAATAATATATATTTCAGTTTTAGTTTATTTTATAAATATTTGTTTCCTAGTTTACATTACTAAATAAATATTAAGCGAACTTTATATGTTAAATATAAGTTAAAAATTACAAATTTTTTATTTGGATATACTAGTCTAAATTATGGAATCTAAGCTATTATAATTGAAAACAAAAAATACAGAAAAATTAAACGAAAATAATGAAAAAACAAAAAAGAAAAAACAAAAAAAATCTAGTAAAATTGAAAAGGTAAATTGTAGAATTAATAAGTACTGTTGTAAATTTATTTACTTTATTAATTAAAAATCTTAATGTAACATCTAACACGATTAATGCTAAACATTATTCCCGTATATTTACTCGTCATAACTAAATACATTAAGCTCTTGCAAATAAATTAAATAAAATAACAGAAACACAAAAATTACATCTTATATTAAACATTCTTACTTATACAATGAAAAAGAATTTGTGCAATTTAAACAATTTTTAATGTATTAGAAGAAATATTAAATTTATTCAGAATTAATTTTGATTAATTAAGCTAATTAAAATTGATGTTCTAAACACATACCAAAAATATTTACTGATATTGTCGCAGCTTCAGGTCATGGACATAAAGTTGTTTTTATTAAATGTACAGCATATTTGGATATTTTTCTATTATTAGAAATTATAGGCGTTATATATTATTTGTCTCTTCTTATTCGGATATTTCACCCAAATAGTTGATTCAAGTCGCTTTGAGACTAGATATTGAATTTGAGTGCATACTTCAAACTCGTTCCGTGAGAAACTTTAAATTTCTAGCGTAAAGACTTATAAATTATATTTTAACAAAAAAACTAAAAAAAATGTTTAATAAAAGTATTAGATGAAAATGGTTAAGAAAAATCTACGATCAACTAATCAAAGTTTAAATGAACTATGTTTCTATGTTTAAATTATATTTTAACAAAAAAACTAAAAAAAATGTTTAATAAAAGTATTAGATGAAAATGGTTAAGAAAAATCTACGATCAACTAATCAAAGTTTAAATGAACTATGTTTCTATGTTTAAGAAGTCATCAAAATCCTGCAGTCAGTAAAATTCTTAGGGTCTGTTTCACAGTCGTAACTTAAGTCTCAGAACTGTATTAAGTCAACTCAAGTCTTTCTGAAGTCAGTTGTAGAACGTGAGATTCTGTTCCTATGTGCGGTCAGATATAGTGTTCTTCTATATTTCAAGTTCTTGCATTTCTGAAACAAACGGTAATGTCACAAATGACATATGTTTAATTTAAGGTTTGCCATTTCGCAATATTTCTCGTTTAACAACCACTGAAGATGTTTAAATTGTGAAAAACTGATTACATAAGTAAATGGTGATTCCGTAGTAGGTGTGTTACGAGCATTATGAGGAGGTTATGATAGTTATACACTTCCATACATGTATAAATTAATTAATTGATAAGGAGGAATATGAATAATGACTTCCTACTTTTATAATGTATAGCAATATACTATAATAAGTGAAGGTGTTATCTATGGTTTCTCATGCTAACTTTTTGGTTTTTATACGACCAAAGTACCTCGATTTGCTCTTAATCAGAATATCAGAATATCTGTTAGTAAATAAAGGAACATTTCAGATACCTGCTTATGGAGATAGAAATAAACTTTGAGATTATTTGAATGCTTAATGACTTACTTATGCATTGGTACAAATCCTTATCAATTACTTAATCATTTCTTCTTGTTTTACTGTGATTAAGACAATTCTCTACAGCTTTTTCTGACTGCAATGTGGTAAAAATGGATAAACATATGATTGACTATATACATAAAAAGTCTTAAAATTGTGTTCTTATAACAAATGTTTTTTGTTGTGTCTACAGTTCTTAAGATGATGATAAGTAGTTAAAGTTCAAGGAATGGCTGAGCCTACGTCTTAGATTTACTCGTATAAGACGAACACGTGTTATTCACTACTCTTGTTGAGATTTTAAGATGATCTGAACTGAAGAAGGGACATATGCTATACTTGTAACGACGGTTTAGATTTTACCTTCAATTTCAATGGATTTATGATTTTTATTTGTTTTTCCAAATAATAAACATGGAAAATAATAGATGAACAGTGTAACATATAAGAATGGTTTCAGTTTATCTTTTTAATAGCGATTTTATGATTCATTTTTTATGATAAATATATAAATGAAATATCTGCAGAAAAACGAAAAAATATATGTGTTGTGGCATATATATACATACATTATACTGCAGATAATATAGCGAAAAAGGGAATATGGAATCATGCCTCCCAATATGTATTTCATAAGAAAATAAAGTCCAGTGGTGCAATGAATCTCTTTAAAAATATAATTGATCAATGGCGAAGGTGTGAGCATGATGGAAGTGGCATCAGTCTTGCGCAGTTATTGAATATAGATTCACGTTTTAAATGTGATTTTGATGAATATTTTAGTGCAATAACCTTTTGTTTTTCTGGTCCTCACAAATAATTTTTTATAAAAAAAATTGTTCCAAAAAATTGGACAAGGGGACCATTATCCCTCCACCTTGCCCATGTTAGATAAGGTGTAGTCATAAGTGTGCATAATTGCATCATAAGTGGAATGCAGATTTCAAAATCGTCTAACATTTCGAAAAATATGATTGAAATTATTATACTAAAGTTTCAAATATCAGTAGGAATTGTATTAAATGACCTACATTATGTTTCATGCATTCGGATGTCATAGACATTTTGTCATTTTTGTGAAAATTAATGCAGTTATCTCCTTGCGAAATTTCACTGTTTTCCGATGATTTGACCTTTTCACATCTTGATTTGCTGACAGCTTTGTGGCCACCTTGTCAAAGTGAACTTTGTTAACGCTGAAACTGTCTTTCTCTGTTCTCCCACGGCATATTCATTATCAATTTGTGCTTGATTTGTGTGGACTATGGAATTGTTTGAAAATTGACGCAGCGTGAACTTTAAATCAAAACTCTGAGCAATGTACCATACATCTGTCGATGAAAGGAGTGTCCTTTGTTTGCTCAAAATGCTTGGCAGTGTTGCAAGTACAACCTTCAGTTGGTGGAAATATTTATGATTTGCTCTTTGATTGACATAATGGCAATCGCCTTAAAGGAAAGTTAATCAAAAGGAGCAATTGTGTTGAAAAATTATTAATAAGTTCGGAGTTTGACTAATGATACAATATAAAAAATTTTTGGAAAAATTCATCTTCATTAAAAATGCTATACTAATTCCAAATCTTAGCTAAAATTTATCTTTGGCGACAAAACTAGTTTCAATTTCGGCAATCACTTCTTCCTTATAGCTGAATATCTTCTGTGGAGTATGTTGTCTGGGTTTGCAGCTAAATTGTCCTCACGGAAAGCCAGATCCGAAAAATTGGAAAACAATTCATAATACAGTTGATGTAGTTTTGCCATCGTTATAATCGATTTGTGGCAACGTGTATTGTCTAAATGAATGAACAGTCTTTCCTGCTCTATTATGTGTTGTTTTTTTTCTTAATGTCTTCCTTTAAATGCATCAACTACTTTATAATGTATTTGCTTTTATGTGATTCATTCAGCTGACTGACGATTTGACTTTGACCTATAGTATCACTTTGATAATATATACATACCATAACAAAATTCCATGGATTGTCATGTTGTCGAAAGGACTTATGGAATGGAGATTGGAATTTTGATATTAAAATAATTATTTTAAATTTTAATGCACACTTCTTATTAAAATAATATGTATTTAAAATAATATATATATGCCTAATTAAACATTAAAATTAAAATTTATTAAGATATGCCAAAAGTTATCATATTGATTAAAGCTTTAGTCACAATTTTACATATGACGGATAATTTTTAAATATAATATCAAAATTAGATATTGCTGTCATGATGATGACGATGATAGTAATCTGATATCGTATGTGGATCATAAAGTCTTTGTAATCTTCATTTTCATTTTTCTGGTATTCAGGACCACTTATGTATGTTGCAGTAGATGCGTCTGAGAAACCACAGCCTTGTTGTCTCCAACCAAATGTTTTTAAAGTAGTCTTATTGTAAGTTCCAAAAATAAAACTTTTTTTATAGCAACTAGAAATGTATATATATACCTTCTGTTCAAAAAGTATCCGGATTTTGTTGTTTGTTAACTACTCCTTAAGTAATAGACCTTTTTCAAAAAAATTTTTTTTTTGTTATGTTGTCTCGTACCCTTTCTTGACGTATGGTACAAATTAGAGCGCCATCTGTCAATAAGTTTGTTTACAGCAGCTGTTAATGTGCGACTACCTCAAGTGCATTTAGCGATTTTTATTATGGAAAATTCTTGTTGTACGTGATTTTTTGACCAAACATGGCACCACTGTCATCGCTCAGGCACCATATTCGCCAGATCTGGATGCGTGCGATATTTTCCTGTTCCCAAAACTCAAATTGCCCCTTCGTGGTAAGCGTTTTGAGTCGATTGAATCGGTAAAAGAGAATTCGCTGAGGGAACTATAAGCCACACCTTGAAATAAAATTTAAATTTGTGTGTTTTATTTACAAAATCCGAGTACTTTTTGAGCAGAAGGTATATATAGTATTATAATGACAATATAACATTATAAAACTCAATATAAAACTTTATGAAGGCTATCTTTCTTTTTCAATTTAAAAGCGTTTAGCTGATGTATCTATTTTATTACTTACACATATATTTTTAATAAGTTAGAAAAGAAGGAAATAATATTTAATAATTTGACTAAATTGCAGTTATAAGAACTGGGCTTTCAGTACGGAACTACCCATTGAAAAAAAAATAATAAGACAATGGTATACTTTGTTTTCTGTTTTTATTGTGGTAGAGTTTGCTTGGATTGTTAAAAAAGTGTATACGAGCAATTTATTTTTATCCTATAAAAGGACGATGCTTTAAATTAATTAATTTCAGTGTTAAATGTTTTTTTTTTGTATGTTTATACATTAAATATAAA